AGACATCTCATCACCCATAACATGAAATTTAATTTCCTTTCAAACCGAATCTAAGTGTAACAGAAAGAAAGGCTGCATTGCATGAAATTCATTCTAACTCAGATATTATCATTTCAAATGTGGACAGAGGTGGGTCAGATTATAGTCATGGGCAAAAGCATTTACATCAATGGTGTCGCTAAATGCTTAAACAAGGCATTGCACATTTTTTACATCTCCTCCTTCAAACTAAGTGATTCTACAAGTGGTACCTAAACTAAAAGGGTAGCAAACAATAATTCATTACGACCAGGATTTGGTGATTGGGTTCCTTCGTCCCCAGTCATGCTTTAAAGGAGAAGTATGTAAGATTTTTTTCCTCCCTCCTTTCCAAATGTATACTTGCCAACCTATGACATTCAAAAATCGGGAGATTTTTCATAATGTTAAAAAGACTTTTTAAATGATAAAAATATGGTTTTTAATAATGAATTAACTTTAAATAGTTACTAATTCTTAAATGCAGGCAACACAAAAATACCTTACACATAAAAAACCTTTTTATTACTTGCATCGTTTAAGGGGAAAAAAAAAAAAAAAAAAAGACACTTTAATCACTTTTGTACAAATGTTATGAACAGTGGCAGATTTTGCTTTCATTAAGGAAAAAACTTCATAATTTTGTTCATAGCAATTGCCATGTAGGCCTGCTTTCACTAGTAAAAGTTTTTCTAATGTGTCATCACTAATATTAGATTGAAATTTAGTCCTTGTTTTCGCAACAACACTGAAAATCCTCTCACACTTTGCATTACTATGGGAAACTGTCAAGATGGCCAACATAATTCTAGACAGTTCACTATATTTTAAAATTCCTTCAGCACCTTTCAGTTTTCCAATTAAACTCCACTGGGTGTCAATCCTAGCTGATTTTATAACTTCATCCAGGTTTTCTAATTGTAAACTACAAAATTGCGACTCAATATATCAGTGGGAACATCAGTATCATCTTCTTTCATAACCTAATGAAGTAACACAGGAAATCTGTTCAAAAAGTACCTTATATTAGAAAAGGATGCATTTGCTAGAGCATCAGCAACTTTGCAAAATCACTTCATTGTTGACTGGTAATTTATGTAGTATATAATCACATACTCGACAGAAGTAACTTCTAACATGAAGATAAAACTTATTTTTGTCTTCTTCTGAAAGTTCTTCCACTACTTTTGTAGTTGCAGCTCCTATTACCAAATCTTCATCTTTCTTCTGATTTTCTCTCTCACCATAAATCACATCATATATAGAATTACAAGACAAAACACAGACTGGTTTTACAAACTTTGATAAAATGTCTTTAAACAGATCATAAATCATTGATTGCAAAACATGAATTAATGGAAATATGCTTTGTAGAACTGTGTTAAGAACATCGAATGATGGCAAAATGAATTTAAAAAAAAAGCAAAAAGCTTTGTTAAAGTCCAAAGGGAAAAAAAAAAAAAATAAATATTCACTCTTCACAAGATAACTTACAGTAATCGGAAAATGTTGTTTCATGTATTGAGCAATATTTTATTTTATTTTTATTTTTTTTTTTTTTTATTTGAGAGAAATTTGAATCAGCTTTAGGCTTATATTTGCAGTATTATTTTGAGAACTCCAGTTGAATTGCTGAATGGTGCAGAATTACTTTATTTTTCTCAAACTATTTTTAACAATGGAAGTAGTAAACTACATCTCCATTTACTTTAGGTATTTCATAAATTTCAATAGAGTCTTTTATCTTAACTCTCGAAGCATTTACTTCTTTAAAAAATGCAAGAAGTGGGTTCCATTGATCGAGGATTCTAGATAAGCATTTCTTTAAAGACAGCCAGCGTGCACACACATTTCAAAATTTTTCTCATTTCAGTATTATACAGCTGTTGGAACTATTTCAATTTTTCCTTCCTTTTAGAACTCCTTTCAAGATAATGATAAATATCAATAATGTGTTTATCCACATCTATTGGTAAAGAAGCTGCCCCTTTTTCGGTTGCTAAATTTAAGAGGTGACAGGTGCACCTCATAATCTGCAAATCTGAATTTTCCTTTCTTAACCGTTTGAGTCCGGCGTGCGCTTCACTTGTTGTATGCCAAAAATACGGCACAGCGCGATAGCGCTTCTCTTGTTTTGTATCAAGAATGCGAAGATGCTGCTGTTCGTTAGTATACTTGAAAAAAGATTATTGAAAATTGGAAAAAAAAATTATTGAAATATTCAATTGGTTTCGCATCAGGAGGAGGGGCATGCTTTGGTCCAGGTACTTCAGAAAAAGTATTCGATTCGTTCGAAAAAATTGTATCCATGGGTAAAAACTCATCAATAATATCATCATCGGAGGTACTTGCAGTTACTTCATCATCAGCACTGTTGTCATTAATAACTCGTAATCTCTTAGAACGAATGATGATGTCATACTCTTCATTATCACTTCTCGTAACATAGTCACTTTCAAATGAATCAGAACTTGACTTGGTTATTTCGTAATTATCAGTATAACACTTGGTAAAAAAAATGAAAACAATTTCCAATTCCTATAAAACAACTGCTACTGATATCACTACAACTGCTCTCATTAATTGCATAAAGTATACTAACCAACAGCAGCATTTGCATTCTCGATACAAAACAAGAGAAGCGCTATCGTGCGGCGCCGTATTTTTGCATACGACAAGTGAAGCTCAATAACGCTTCGCCGAACTCAAACAGTTAAGATGCCTGCAACACCAGTCTTCAAGCCTACCATTACTGGTGCATTATCGGCACCAAGTGCTAAGCAATTATCCAGAGGGACTGCATTTTCTTTTAATACTTAGCTGTGCTATGTTAAAGCCTGTCGAATGTCCTTCTAAAGTGGGGTCATTTTTTTTTTCAAAACAACTCATGTTGTCCTTGTGTTTTTGTGTACGCGCATGTTTGAGAACATCCGCCCTTCCACCATGCGAAATCAAAAAATCACAATGACAGACAGTACACATCGCAAATTGATTACATTTCCTTGAGGAAATAATGGAAGGAAAGTCAACTGTGTACGATTTTTTAAACATACACGAGTATTTCACCTTTCTCGCAGACATAAGAAAAGATGATAATTTCTAAAACTATTTCCCTAAGGCACGTGTACTCACACAACTCAGGACAAAATGAACGAAATAACTAAAGAACATCCAAATAACAGCCTTGAGCTTGCTTTGTGCTGCTCATTGTCTAATATATGCCAGATGACACGCAGTGGAGCTCGATGCCCATTTAAGAACGACGTTTCTGGATACATATGCTCTCACTCACAAAGCAGAAATACTCACACAACTCAGGACAAAATGAACGAAATAACTAAAGAACATCCAAATAACAGCCTTGAGCTTGCTTTGTGCTGCTCATTGTCTAATATATGCCAGATGACACGCAGTGGAGCTCGATGCCCATTTAAGAGCGACGTTTCTGGATACATATGCTCTCACTCACAAAGCAGAAATTCTCATCTGATTCGTACGGTTTTGTTTTAGATATAATCTAGAGAAAATTCAATTGCTTTCAGACGTCCAAAATCACTTTTTTTTTTTCTTCATATAACGAAGTATTAAGCCAAGTTCCATAACAACCGTGAGAAATTTTAAGAATAAGAAAAAGTCGGGAGAAATATATTGTAAATCAGGTTGGCGGGAGAGTTGGCAACTCTACAAATGTCTTTGTGATGTAATTGGAAGCATGTTCGAGGTTTGAGTTTCAGTGAAGGCATTGCGCACTTTTCAAGTCTCCTGCTTCAGAGTAACCTTATGACTCTACAAGTTTTAAAAAAGCCAAGGAAAGACAGAAATTTGTGGCATAAGTAGCCTTATTGAGGAAAATTTTAAGCTGTGAAGTTATTGATGGTGATATCGGAAAATAGATAGGGCTGTGTAAAAACTGGTAACTTTAAAGAGATGGGGACATTTTACTGTACTAGTGAGAGAGATTTTGGTTTAGGTGTATTTGATTATGGCAAAGCACTCAAGGGATAGCTGCCTGAGGGCAGGAGAACATTCTAAGGGAAACTGGCTCGTATACACATCCTACATGGGGAAAACCACTGAAATGCCCATCCCGTTCACTGGGATTCAAACCCTGGACCAAACTACTAGCTTAGGGACTTTACTACTTGGGCAGTAGTGAAAGAGAATGAGGATACAAATGAAGATAATCACAAGATAAAGAGGATAAGATAAATCTGAAGTGTTTAATAGATGACATATACTAAAGGACTTAAAACCACTAAAGGAATGCTACATTCTAACTAGAATCTGGGCATTTTCCCTTCACTTGCTGTCCTGTTAATATGTTGACACATACTTTTCTTTGATCAAAATTAGTTGTTACATAGATGTAGAAAAGTCATGACTGTAATCAAGTTGATGATGTAGTTGTTAGTGATAAAAGCCCATTCACAGAAAAGTTGACGCAATTGTGGCTATGTGAGCATTTCTATTTTTGATACTGACACTCCTAAATTAGCACAAAAAGTATGTTTTTTTTTTATTCACATTTGTGTCTTTTTTATATCTTTATAATTATTAATTTCGATGGGAAATTGGTAATCAGTGACATGTTAGTAGAGCAACAAGTTAGAGAAGAGTGACAGTTTCTGTGAGATGCTTAAGTTAAAACAGATTCAGTTTTGTTTCCATTTCATTTTGTTTGCAAATTTTAATACTATTATTGACTAAAGCATTGTATAAGTATTTGTCAATAGCCTTACATAAGAATCATATGGCATGAATTTATTTTGAAATGAAGCAATACATAGAGATTTATTATTTAGCAGTTAAGAATAGAATGGTTAAATTTGTCAAATTAAGGAGATTTAAGGGATTATATTAAAGTTGCAGTTGTACTTTATGTATTTCTATCATTTATCTGTATATATTACAATACTGTATTTACAGTCTAAATTTGCTTGTTTTTCATGTAACGAAATTTTAATTGAAGTTTCTCATTATAGGAAACTGTATCGTTTTGTACGGATCATACTGTTCTGATCTTGCTGTTAGTACATCTAATTTAAATCTTGCTTTGGCAACAGATTCTATTGTAAAAAATTCATTTTTGCTTGAAATTCAAAAGTGCCTCTCTAAAGGTAATACTGCCTGAAAGGTAGTTTTAATTTTTTAATTTATATCATGAATAATTTTTAATAAATGCTTGAAATTGTTTATAAATATTATTTTACTGAACTCACATTATTATTAATAAATAAAATTTCTCCTTTCCAATGTATATCACTTGATATTTAAAACATGATGCATACTTCATAGATGTAATGTAAAGGACACTTTTTGTGATGTTTCCCAATCATAACATGAATACAAGCCTTTTTCCCTTAGGAAGTCCATGAGAATGTCCTTTCCCTTTGACAAATAATCTATTCATGTATTGTTGTAATCAATGAATTAAAATAAAGGGAAAAAATCCCAGATTTTCTTGAATTCGGGTCTTTAAGAGATTCTCACATCTTTGTGTAACAATAATTAAAAGAATTTTCCCGCCTAAACTAGCTCTTTGCTCTAACAGTTTAAATGAATCCTGTTATTCTAATACTCATTTTCTTTCAAATAAATTTCTTATTGTCATTTGCACAGTCTGTCTTTTCAAAATGGCATTGTGGAACTGCACAGCATGTTTTCTTCTGTAATGTGTTATTCCATTGTATGGTTGTCCATCATTGTCCAAGTGGATAAGATCACTGAATAATGGCAGTTAACTTGTTGCCTGAAAAATAGGCTGACTGCATGAGTGTTTTTATGGTTTCTTCATATTTGATGTGAATACAAGCCAGTTTTTCTTAGAAGGTCCTCAACAAAGACATTTCTTTCCTTAGAATGATAGTTCTAACATGCTTTGCTATAATCTACTAATTCTTAATATTTTTATATGGCAGTTGAAACTTTTGTAAATTTTGGGCAATATTTTTTACAGTTTTGAAGGAAGCCATTCACTTCTTTTGAACTCTTTGGCAAATTCCAAAGACCTGTAAAAAATTTATAAATCGCAAGTATGTAAGAGCAAATCCAAAAACTTTTTATCACATGCGGTTTTAAAGACCTAACCATATGTTCATCACATCGCAGCAAGAAAGTAACTATTATTGTCTAGGTGGCAACATTCTTGGCATCTTCTGAAGTTCCCAATTTCAGATGAAACAAAAACAGATTATTCTTTATAAGTTTTATATATTTATGGTCTTGGTGAAGAGAAAATATATTTTTTTAAAAAAACTGGGAAATTTCAGATTTTATATTATGCCCAAAAAGGCGTTTTTTAACATTTTGTGTGTTACCTTTATTTATTAAATATCATGTTCTTCTCACCATAAAATTCAATTCAACAGCAATAAAAAAGTGTTAAAAAGAGCATCTTTAGAATTTCCGATACACAGTCTTGCACGCTGGAGATAAAAATGTCTCCCCCCCCACCCGTACAGTGTTGCTATTGCTTGCTTTGAAATTGTTGAGTTTATTAATCAAAAACTCATAAATGCTTTACAAAATATGAAATAGATAATAAAACAAATTCTAAATTTGGTCCTTCAAACGTTCATATTTGTGTGGAGACGTATGTAATTCAAAATTTGATGGCTCTATATACTGTTTTTTTATCACAGTGCGAGAATCATACATACTATTTCTTGCATATGGGTGTGTAATGATTGAATGCACAAGTTGATAAAAAGATAATAAAATTTATTCTTATCCCAAGAAATTAAACAAAATGCTGAAATTTTCTCAGAGGTATTTGTACAATAACACAAGTATCACCCAGTAGTTATATTTTAAACATCTATAATGTAAATAGAACTCAATTCAAAACAGAGAAAGCTAATCCGATCTCGCCACGAATTCGCTACAATCAGTAACAGCACTAAGTAAACAACTGAACTGATATGTTTTCCTCCAGCTTTTATAAGCTTTTTAATCATGTATGAGAACATTCTGGTATTTTCTCGATTTTTCAGGAATGCAAAAGAGTACAATTACGAGATATCTATTTATTAAATATTAAATGTGTATGCTCCCATATTTTTACTTTTTCGGAGTAGCTTTCTTTTAAAACTCATTGCTGGCAGCATTGCATGGAAAAAAGAAACAATTTTGACTACAATTAAACTAAAAATAGACAACTAGATACAAAAACCATAACACTGCCGCCTTTCCAAGGACTGCACGCTTGGGGCAGTACAATTTCCTAGATAGAAATCCAACAACTACTTACAACTAAAGTAAAAATGCAATAATAAACATTGCATTACAAATACAAAATTAGAAACAAAAAGGACCATGGACTTATACTATCTAATATTATATACACTACGTACTATGGCCATAGTAAAGAGCTAACCTGTCGTAATAAACGACTTTAGGCTTAGAGTTCGATGACAGATCCAAACCACGACGTTGTTCAGCCTGTTTAGGACTGTGTAAGGACTCAGTTTAGAACACAGTCCTTTCCATCGAGTCTGATTCCACAACCACACCTTCTCGCCTTTATTGAATCAATGTCCAATAGCTCTTGTGTCGTATCGGGTCTTCATCTTCTCTGTCACCATGTCGACTCGCTCTTGTGCAAAATTGTGCATCACTTCAAACCGGGCCTGGAGATCTTGCATGTATTCCATGGCGATGGAGGTGCATCCAGAGAGCGACCAAACAATAGATCTCAAGGCAGACGAAGATCACGGCAAAAGAGCATCTGAGATGGGGAATAGCAAATAGTCTCGTGGACAGCACTGCTGTGAGTCAGTAAAAATAGTGGTAGCTAGTAGTAAATGCTGTCTTTCCTCGGTCATCATTATGTATTTCTACTTGCCAATAGCCACTGTTTAGATCAAGTGTGGAAAACCATCTGCTTCCCGAAAAGTGTGTCCAAAATGTCGTCTTTCTAGAAAGAGGGTAGCTGTCTTTTTCCATAACCTCATTCAACCAGCGATATACAATGCAAATTCTAGTCGAACTGTCTTCCTTTCTGACGAGGACTAGGGGAGATGTCCAGGGAATTGTTGAAGGCTCGATGACATTGCTTTCTTGCATGTCCTTTAAAAGTGTTCTTACCTTTTCCTGGTTTGCAACCGGTAGATGTCTTGAATGTTGCTTGGTTGGTGGATGATCACCAGTATTGGTTGTATGTTGCGTGAAACTGGTTCAACCACAGGCAGAAGACGAGCGGGAGAAAACATCTTGATCTTGAATGACACGTTCGGCAGCATTCCTCTCTTCATCGTTTAATTGCGCATTCTGCAATAATTCTGATGCTCTCCGAAGACATGGATTCTGGAATGTTACTCTTTCATTCAACAATGGTTGCTGGAGTTCGTGCTGAAACAACTGTACCTTTTTTAATAACTCTTGCCTTGTCAGTTATATTAGCAACTCTCACTGTGATAATGGTCCTGGATAGATCAATGAGTGCTGAAGCTGCTAGTACTCCTTTCGTAATTTTAAGTAGTTCCTAACAGAATACTCGTTCCCTGAACAACAACATCCAAGCTTACATGTAGACTTTATGAGGCTCTAAGCCTTCTATTCGGCTGTGTTCCCGGAGCAGGGTGGAGTAGAGAGTAGATGGTTTTTGCCAGGAAGATAACACACTGTAAGGCTAAGGCCAGGTCAGTGGTCTTTCTTGGTGGTGCTCACTCACTCACTTTTTTTACAACTTAGAGTTAAAAGAAGAAAAAAGTTAAAAGAAGTAGCCCTAACAGTAACAGCTCTTTCTCCTACTCAAGTTAGTGTGGAAAGACTCTTCTCAGTTTTGAAGTTTATAAAATCGGATCTATGGCCCTCCAACAAAGACGATCTTGAAGCTACACTGTTTCTTAGAAATAACTAATGCCAGTTTTTCCATTTCATAATAAATTCTAATTAATATAAATAATTTGCTATGCCATCAAATTTTTTTTCTTTACCATCTATTACTCCTTTTATATTAAAAAAGTAAGCTGTAACCCATGTGTATATGTTTACATATATATATATATGTATATGTTTACATATATATATATATTATATGAGGAGGTCAGAGTCTTTAAAATTCCAGGAGTTGGAGACGGTAATTTTCCCTACCGACTCCACAGCCCTGTTTTTGGCACTTTTGGTAAAACAGTGCAAAGCCTGAAATCCAGGTGTCTAAAAATCAAAAGGTCTATTATTCCAATCTCATATATATATATATATATATATATTTTAAATGCTTGGCATTATTTTCTTCCCCCCTCCCACACACACACAAAGTGTAGGTGTGGAGAATGATACTTAAGAAAAAAACGAGACTGCCATAAATAATTTTTCTTCTGATTAACTGGAATATTTTTCCCGTGAAACATCATTATCCATGACAGTATTGAGACATACTGCTTATTATTTCTCTTTTAAAAACAGCTGTCAAGTAGTGAACCACATTTTTGGCCCTTAAGTGGTTGAAGGAGAACAACGTTTTTCTATGGTAACTAGCCCTTTGAACATTGAAACCTAAAAACCCATGTTTGTTTGGAGTGAAGTGTTGCACATACTGGTTTTCTCTTGTTAGTCTAGTAGGGAAGAAGGAGTTAGATTCTATTGAACTTAAGCTCAGCTAGCATTGCAAAATGTACTCCTCGATAATTTTCTTATTTGATGCAGCTTATTATTTTGTTCCATTTAATATTAAAAAATTTTATTAAAATTAGAGAAATAATGTCTTCATATTACCCATTCCTTGAAATTGTGCATCCATCAGTCATCCTATGGATATAAAAATTTTGCTTGCACTGAAATGCAGTAATAAAAAGCTGTTTTAAAGTCAGTGCAACAATAAAGCTATCCAAAAAAATCTTGAAATATATTAATGTAATGTCTGTTGTGTGGAACACTGCAGTAGAGCATGAGAGAATTGGCATTATTTATAGGCAGTTGTTAGACTTTTTTTATAATGATGATAGCCTCAAATTTAAAATCCTTCAGATTTTGCAAATAAAAAGCAAAATTTTTTAATGGAATGTAAGAAGAAATGTTGAAAGATGACATAACTGAAGTTCCATTCCAGTGGCAATGCTTCAGTCATCAATTAGTTAACAAGGAGTAAAATCTATGGGATGGTTTTAAATGCAAA